CCCATTTGTTCCAGAGTTCGAGAATACAACACATTGACCGAACCGAACTCCCATTATCCACAAAAGTTCGATGTATTTGTATGCTAGCAATAGACATTGTTATTACCAGCACATCATTTTGGTCCTGTAAAACTCCATAAGAATATTCTTCCAAAAATCCGAACCATAATGGAGTATGATGAAATGCCAGTATCAGACTCTGGTCGTCCTACATCGTAATTCTGGAAAATGCGTGCATCTCGCACTTGTCAGTGCCTTACCTTTCTAGATCGTTCAATGTATTGATTACCACCTATTAACATTCTGATCTCAGCTCGAGGTGGAGGATCCCGAGCTTGAAGAGTTGGCTAACCCCGTTGAATCGTCCCTAGTTGGTAAGGTTGTTGATTGTACGCTTGGTTCGTCTCTCTGAGTTTAGCCACAAACTCTTGCAGATGACCTCGTCGAATTAAATATTCCACATCTTCCTTCAAGTTTCTACAATCATCTATATTGTGTCATGCCGACCTATAATATCAACAATACTTTCCTTGATTTTTCCCTACTGGATCTTTTTTCTGAGGTGGGGGTCTGCAGAATGCTTCTTTTTTCCTGTTTGCAAGAAGACTTCTTCCAAGGTAGCATTTAATGGGTAATATTCATGGGTGATATAACAATCTCTGTCCCTCTTATCCTTTTTCTTTTCATGATTGAACCATTTACCCACTTTTTTTTCCTTTCTTAAAAGTGGGGATTGTGGATTTACCTTGGTTTCCTCATGACCTAAAGTGGCTTCCTCCGCACTTATATGTTTTTCCATTCGATTAAGGAACTAGTGATATGTTTGAGGTCCATCTCCATGTATAGACCACCAAAATCTCGTTCTAGGCCATAGCCCTGAAAGAACTGCCATGAGTATGGCGTCATCGGAGGTTTTTTCGACCTCCATGGACTGATTATTGAACCTATTGAGGTAACTTTTAAGTGATTCACCCTTCCCTTGCTTAATGCTCACCAAACGCTCTTTGTGTGCGGTTCTTGCTTTGGAACACATGAACTGAGCAAGTAACGCCGTGGCAAGGTCGTTCCAGTTTCATATGGACCTCTGATGTAACCTCCTGAACTATCTTTAAGCTTTATCTCCCAATGTTAATGGAAAGAGACGACACATAATGGCATCGGCTGCTTCTTGCAGCTCCATCCAAGAAGTGTACTTGTCTAGGTAACTAAAGGGATCTCCTTCCCCCTCATGCCCAGTCAGCTGTGGTATTTTCAATTTTTCAGTCAAATGTTCAGCAAGAATATCTTCAGTGAAAGGGGAATGGCGTCTAGTGAGATATTCCTCTGTGCTTCCTTTATTTTTGGCTACCAAATTAGTAATGCATTTTTTAAGACGTTCATCTCAGGTTCTTCCTGTTCCAACGGGCATTTCACACGGGGCTCGGGATATTCGCTCTGAGGTGTTAGTGAGTGCTGAGATCCCAATCTATCGAACACAGTACTAGCTTTCTTAGTAAAGGGCTCCGCTATTGCGGGAGAACTCATGTTCTCTTCAGTTCGACTTTTGGAAGATTCCCCTCCTAAGGAATGGAGAGCCCTCCTAGTGAGAGGTCATCTGGTTCGTTCCCTGTGTGGAGACTCTACCTTAGTTTCAAGTGGAGGAACGTGGGTAGTTTTGCTCTAATCTGTTGACTGCATTTGTTAACCTCTCGATAGCTTCTCTCATAATGGTCATTTGAGGGTCGCCAACTTCATTTTGACCTCGTCCCCTTCCAATATTTTGTGGAATATTGATTTGTTCAAGATAAGTGTGGGATTGATTCTCTGATGCTAAAATATCATCTATGATAGTATTTTGTCGTAAGTTTTATGGGGAGATGCTTATACAAGTTAGGGCCCTCCTTCTAGTGCCAACTGTTGACGTCGAAAATTGTATGACCAAAATTCAAGCCAACTTCAAGTGTCAATAAAGATTTTTATTGATAATTACTTATCTATAATATATTAAATATCACATCAAGTGAGAATCATTTTTTTGACGATTTTAACCCTACTACAATAATACCTTACTTTTTCGTTTTTCAATATGTAATAAATACTATAAAATTCTTGTCATGTATGAATTTCATGTTATTAATTCTCAATTAATTAACATTCACATTAATCTAGATTCAATGAATCTTGATTGATAAATATTCATTTACATGAATATAGAGATATTATAAATTCTTACAAAATTCTTGTCATATATGAATTTCGTGTTATTAATTCTCAATTAATTAAAATTTACATTAATCTAGACTCAATGATTCTTGATTTGATGAATCTTAATCTATATAAATCTAGAGTTATTATAGATGAATTTATTTCTATTCATGTATTTAGGAATTTTAATGGGTGTTTAAATTCATGTATTAAAAATTAATACTTATATACCAAATGTAGTATAAAAAAGTTGCTCATTTGTAGTATTTCATCATCACAAAAAATATGAACAATAGAAGTTGAATTTTGAGAGCACAATTTTCTTCTCTTAAATTGTTATCCTAAATTTTATTTCCTTTAGTTCGTTTGAGACGTATCATATCCTCTTAACAAAATGATATCAAATATTACATTTACAACACTTATAAAAAGTATTTTAAAATAACGTGCAATGCACGTTCAACTTTGACTAGTAAACTACAAGTGTTTTTATCAAATGAGATATTTAAAATATGAAGTTCTTGGGCCTTCCTTCTCTTTAAGATATTGTCCCTCTTTTATAGGAAATGATGGGTCTGTATCTTTCGTATTCCTGTCTTGTCAACAACAGTACCGAGCTGGGAACCTATGCCAATGACTTAAGTCCTGATTGGTTGTTGTCAAATCAACATACAGTACTAAACTAGAAAAGTACGCCAATGACATATTCACATTGGTTGCTAAGGTCGGTTCCATCGAGCTATCATGAAGTCGGCCTTAAATGGGGTCCCCAATAATTAATGAACTGATAGAACGAAGTTATAATATATGATTGGTGGAATTGGTGGACGTTGACGTAAGTCCTTTTGAATGTCATTAATTGATTGAACGTTTTGACAATGTATAAGGAATCTACAATGACTATATCCCCCTCAAACCACGGCGGTCATAAGTACGAGCTAACCTTAAAGATCCGACCTTAATTTAACATAAGTTAAATGCATATAACCAACAGACTTAATGAGGTCGCAAGTCGGATGTCAACAAATATTATTAATTCAATTTGATGCGATATGTCTAGGAAAGCAATTAATTTAAAGTTGAAGAATTCAAATAGGAAAGAAAAATCATTTTGACCAACATTTGTGTTTATCTTCATTACCCAAACAATTGTCTTAACTATTTAAGATGTATAACACAATCTTGGATATAAGAATATATCGTGAAGTTCAAATATGTTACACAAATATTCAAGAAATCGAAAATATTTGAATTAATGTTGAAAAATGAGTTCGAGGTATAGCGAGATATGATGTTCCTCCAGTAGAGCTATTATATGTCTCTAATAGATTTATAATACCGTGAACTCTAATATATACTCGATGGTCTAAGATCTATTTGCCATATGAAATTTTATCATATGGATCTTGAGAATGATGTTACTTGTGTTATTCGATGTCACGTATGGTTCGAGTCAAATCCATCATGTGCAAGTTAGAGATATTAAAAAAATATGGATCGCCCCATATGGGGTGACACAACCCATGAGTTATTAAAATGGGCTGGAGGAAATTGTTTAAATTGATTTCAATCACTATTCAAATTCCAAAAAAACTGGAAAACCAATTCTAACCAAAATGGCAGGAAATGATTTTCCACAAAATCAAAGAAATTGTAAGTATATGAGGTAAAGTAAGAAAATTAATTCTATGGAAAACTTTGTGTATCAAACAAGACAAAAGATGAAAAATGGAAAATGAGTTCCATTTTCCATGGAAAATCTATGCTATCAAACATCGCCTAAATTAGGGCCATAGAAGTACAACAAAATGTAGAAATTGGGACATGGAACAACAAGGTGATTCAACCCTGGAAACCTAAAAATTCTCATTCTTTCGAGTAAGAATCTTTAATCGAAATTTATGCTCAAGCATGATGTGAATTCTTTCATCATTGAACGTGTTTTCCATTTTTTGTTTGTAGAATGAATTCCTAACAAAATCATATCTACGTATTTACTTATAAGTAAATCTTTAAGCTTATTTAAGTTGATCTTAAATTTAATTCCTATCAAAATCGTGAATTTGCCTACTTGCAACGCAAAGTTTTGTCCCGACATGATTCAAATAAAAATAAGATTTTTAGTAGATTTTAAAATAAGTGAATAAAATGTATAGCTAAAAATTGTATAACACATATACACACATACTCTCTCCTAACTTTAACTAAGATTTTAATCATTTTTTTTCTTTTAATTGAACCAAACAGAGGTTAATAACAAAACTTCATTTTCCTGATGCCTCGTGTAATTGTCACAAAGCAATCATAAAGTACTTCCAATTCCAAATAACACACTCAATCAGTCCCTTCTGTTTCAGGTACCTATTTCTTCTGTTTGATCGCTATAATCAATATTCTTTAGTTCTTAGAAATTCTTGTTAATTCGAAGTTGAGTTAAGCAGTTAAATTTGTCTTAAATTCTAAACTTTTGTTCGAGGTTTTAATAATTTTAGTCTCACAATTTTATTGAATCCTTTATTGTTCTTAATGTTTAGAAATTCTCGGTAATTTGCAGTTGAGCTGTAAACAGTTTGTTTGTATTAGTTTTTATATGTTATTCGACGTTTTGATAATTTTATCGCACAATTCTATAGTATTTATTCTTAATACAAACCAAATGTGGTTTTGGTTTATTAATATGTAATTCTAATAATTTTATAGAAAATTTTCAATGTTTTTTGCCATTGTTAAAAGAACTTAGGGATTGAGCAAAACTGTGGTTATTCAGTAGAGGAATGATGGGGCAACATATTATAATGATTTGGTTTCCGATTTTGATGTTACTATTGGTGGAGAAGAGTAAAGGGGTAATATCAGCTTCCAACTACTTGATCGGGCTCGGAAGCTATGACATCACTGGGCCAGCGGCTGATATTAACATGATGGGTTATGCTAAAACGTATCAGACTACATCTGGAATTCACTTGAGGTTGCGAGCTCGTACATTCATAGTGGCAGAGCCACAAGGAAACCGGGTTGTGTTTGTGAATCTTGATGCTTGTATGGCCTCACAACTCGTGACACTTAAAGTACTCAAGAGGTTGAAGGCAAGGTTGTTATTTGCCTCCTAATTATGTCTTACCCAGATTTTTTTGTGACAGAATTGGACAGTGCTTAAACAATTTTTAGCTTCTTTTTTATTATTTAACCTTTTCCATCTCCAATACCGTATGCCAAACATGCACTTATAGAATTTGCTATCTATTGTCGAGTGTCAAATAGATAATTACAACCTTTCCTTATTGTTAATATCCTGTTATAGCAGTGTTTTAATATTGTGGATATTTGATTAAGCATGTAATTTTTGCTATTACAGGTATGGAAATCTTTACACAAAAAACAATGTTGCCATTAGCGCCACTCATACCCACGCTGGCCCAGGGGGTTATCTTCAATATTTTGTATATCTTATAACATCCTTTGGTTTTGTGCGCCAATCCTTTGATGCCCTTGTTGATGGCATTGAGCAGAGCATCATACAAGCACATGATAATCTTCGACCTGGATCAATATATGTGAATAAAGGTAATGGAATTTGGTTTTAATACTATTAGTTTGTTAATGCAAAAGTGATATAAAGCAACTTTTTTATCTATATTTGATTGAGTTGATTTCACAGCGTCGTGCATAAATGTTGATATTATGGCACGAATAGAAAAAATTATTTTATAGTAATTAGTCTTTCATCCACTTTGTGCAATGAACACGAAGAAATAATTTACTTACATTGGAAAAAAGAAAAAAGCAATCAACTTCTCATTTGACAATATAAATGTAAGGCAACCGTCTTCCAGCATTTCTTTGTCTATGTGTTTTACCAAATACCAAATGCTGACATATTAGAGGCGTGATCAAACTGCATGTCATGTAACTAACCCTTTTAGTGATCTGTTTTTTCTCTAGATTTCCACCTTCAGTCACCAATAGTATCGGTTTAACTGCCTTCTAAAAGTGTGTTCATTTGTGTACCTCTCACAAACATGGTATTGCCCATAAACTAATCTCTTAAACTCTGAAGCTTTGACTTAGCACAATCTTCTTTTGTTCCTGCAAGCACATCCTCGACGGACACGATTCCAAGGGAAGGATGTGTTACCCTATATGCTCCTCAAATAGTCTTTCATTCTATCTGTTTAGCAAATATATTTCCTTATTACTATGCAGATATGGCTGATTATACTATTGTAACACTGTGAAACTTTAATGTATTTGTTCTACATTTTCATTAATTATTGATTATTGTTATTTTTGAATCTCTATTTTCCTCATTGAAGGGTGCAATTTCCTTAATTTACTTATCTCCATTTAACCCCCAGGCTTCTTTTGTTGCCTGTTGTGAAGTTAAATTTGCCTTTATTAGCTGGCCTTGGGTTTTTGTATTAAAAATAACTGATCTTCCTTTGTTTATATTGTTTGAGTTCATCAAGGGCCGTCAATAGCAGAATGGCTAGAGGTCACTTCCTTTAGTCTGTTGTCTTTGATATTGTCATACACTTGTGTTGGTTTCTGATGGAATAGCAATCAAGAAGGCATGAACAGTACTTTGAAGAAAATTGTCAGTAATGCTTATTTGACCTCTGTATACTATTCTCACTAGGTTTGGCCTTGAATTTGTAGGGGAGCTTTTAGATGCTGGTGTTAATCGCAGTCCAAGTGCTTATCTCAATAACCCTGCAGAAGAGCGCAATAAATACAAATATGATGTTGATAAAGATATGACCCTTTTGAAGTTTGTTGATGATGAATGGGGTCCAGTAGGTAGCTTCAGTTGGTTTGCAGTACATGGAACTTCTATGAGCCGTACAAACCCGCTGATAAGTGGGGACAACAAAGGAGCTGCTGCACGGTTTATGGAGGACTGGTTTGATCAGGATTGTAGTGGAAGTAAACCTTCTGATGCATTCAAGGCTAAAGTGAACCCACCAAGAGTCTCAAACATTAGTCCATTTGTTTATGAAAATCGTAAGTATTATATACTTATCCAAATAATGTTGCAGTATTATATAAAATATACAATACCATTGTTGTGTTGACTTATAGAAATGTGTGACCACATGTTTCTAATTCTTTATGAGTGTGATAACGAGGGTCCTATCCTATGTACATAGCCTCCAGTAACATTTTTGTTTATCTCGCTACTTGCAATTTCGAAATAAGAAGGTAGTTTACCTTGGAACATTTCTTTGTGGCTGTCTCAAAACAGATTGTGAGTTACATGAACTTAATGCTTCTTTCCAATCTTCTTCGAGCAAACCAGCAACCAGATTTAAGAGCCTTGCAAGACGGGTACGGAGTACTCCCAGGCAAGCAGATAGGCCTATATTTGTATCTGCATTTTGTCAGACGAATTGTGGAGATGTTAGCCCAAATGTTCTCAAGGCCTTCTGCATAGATACAGGGTCACCTTGTGACTTCAATCATAGTACCTGTGGTGGGAAAAATGATTTATGCTTTGGCCAAGGTCCTGGGTATGCATACTTTCGTAGTTTTCTATTTAGCAGAAGCAAGTCCTTGGTCTAACAATTTCTTCAGGAGTGGATTGTACTGATTCTGATTTAAACTATAATCTCATCTCTTGGTTGCATGGCAGCACGGATGAATTTGAAAGTACACGTATCATTGGAGATAGACAATTTAAGAAAGCAGTGGAACTTTTTAATATAGCATCCGAGCAATTAAAGGGAAAGGTTGATTTTCGCCATACTTATGTGGATTTCTCCAAGCTTGAGGTGACAATTTCTAAACATGGAGGAGGTACCGAGGTTGTAAAAACCTGTCCTGCTGCAATGGGGTTTTCATTTGCTGCTGGGACAACTGATGGACCTGGTTCTTTTGATTTTAAGCAAGGAGATGTCAAGGTACAACTGTTGGATATATATTGTGTAAATCACAGCTGTATACGATCATCTAGCAAAGAGTAGTATATTTATGTTCTCTGTATCTGTCTCTAATTCTCCCCCAACTGCCCTCTCATCAGGGGAAGGCATTTTGGAGATGGTTGTCCTACTTACTTAAAAAGCCAAACCAGGAACAAGTTGATTGTCAACATTCAAAGCCCATTCTGTTTAATACGGGTGAAATGAAACTGCCTTACGATTGGTCGGTGAGCTACCATCATTTAGTATATGTTATATTCTTATATTGTTGGATTTGTATCTTTCAGACATTTTCAGAATGGATAGCAATTCGCAATCTTTTAGTATATCTTTTAATTGCCTAGTTTCATCAAATTTGTAACTTGATGTCTGGAGTGCCTTAGATCTGGGAATTAAATATTGTAGTAATAACTTACCAACTGAATCTGCCCAATCATGAACTGTAAATAGTTTCTGTCTATCCATAATTTAGATCAGATGTGTCTATATTCTTTTGCATTTTTTTTTTAATAATTGAAGAAGGTGTATTAAGCTATGCAAGGACAGGTTGGAAGCTGAAAAGTTTCTTTTGTCCTCAGTCGAATTATATAGATCGAGTAAATATACACAATGTTATTAAAGAATTCCGACCTTGCATGGAAACGGGTTGGAGAAAGTACAAATTTTCATTCTCAATTAGTGAAATGTCCAATTTGAATAGTTATATGAATGACAGTTGCCATTAAGCCTAAAACCTTTGTCATGGACCTCTAACGATATGCAACAGGGCTATCTTAAACAAACTATTGACAAAATCATATAATTTGTTTTAAGATTTGACTTTCCTTGTTCAATCAATTCCTAGACAAGTTGGACTATACATTTGTTTTCTCATTTAGGATATCTTATTCAGTTTCCTTTTCTTTGTCTAAGAAAAATATGGTAGGTGGTTTCTCTTTGTAAGAAGACAAGAATAGTTTTACAAATTCACTATCTTCTTTGAATTCTTTTTCTATTACACTTATTCTATAATTTATAACACAATTACATAAAATATGGATAACTAAATCCTATAAATTAAGGAATCTAATCAGCTTTCAGTAATCACTGTCAAGTTGGTTCAAATATCTTCCCTACCCAGCTTGGTTCCAAGTAAATTAAATATTGGATAAGTATATATTTTTAAATATTGCTTACCATGAAACTATGCCCCCGTTTGGCCCCCATTATTTGAGATTATAATTTTTGGAATAGTGTCTTTTTGAAATATGTGTGGTTAAAAAAGAAGAAAAATTTTGGGTTTACGTGTAATATTATTTTATTGGAGCATGTGTAATTGATAAAAAGAAAGCGAAAAATAGATTATAATTTTAATGGGGGCCAAACGGGAACTAAATGTTGGACAGGTATTCCTTTAGAGAAAATGCCGACTATCTGGAAGTAGAAGATAAATGAAAATCAAACCATTTTGAATTTTCTCAGATAAGGTGTCAGACTATGTTAACGTGCTTCCTTGTGTCATGTTGTACTGGGTTAGGAGTATTGTCAAGTACTGCATTGTTATCACAATATGGCTTAATTGGCTCTTCAAGCTTTATTTCCAATTCTCCCAGCAGGTCTGAAAATTCAACTTATTTAATGAATCTAGGTACAACATTTTGCTTTATATCCATGGTACCAATTTTGTGCAAACGAATGTACAATACCCGAGGTAGATGTTAGTCAGTTATACAACCTACCCAGTCAACATTGTTGTAGACTTCATCTCTTATTTTTCCACTTCTGAAAATAACAAGCATTTACCTATAGTTGACTTCGTCTATCTGAAAGTTCTTAAATCAACATCCATATGACCTTCTGAGTACGCACGAGGTGGCTCACTATACTATGTGAAATTTGTAATGATTATGTAGTTTCTGAGATTATATCGGTTCAGCTGAACCATAATGCCAGGTAATGGCATCTAAATTCTTCTGGCCCTTTTCTAAGGGAAATGAATAGTGGAATAGAAATTAGACCCCAACTCTTTTTTCATTATGAATATACTCAAAAGGAATCGGTGTGTGCAGTTATTTACTTTCTTTAATCTTTGGTTGGGAAGTCATCTATTTATGCTGTTATGAATTAAATTATTTTCTTGTCTCCAATCTTTTACTTTATTTCTTACTTAACGGTGCACATATGAACTTAGATCGATGATAATATGGTTTATCCGTGTGATTTGCAGCCTGCAATACTTCCAGTTCAGATTCTGAGGATAGGGCAGCTGGTCATTCTCTGTGTACCTGGAGGTAGTAAGTTATCTTATTTTGTATTCTTTTAAGCATGCTGAAATATGTATATTTGCTATACCAGACTGTCCTTAATATTATTGAGATGGATAAACTTCAAGCGTTCTCTTGCTTTATATTGGTTTCAAATATTATCAGATGGTTCTTAATAATTCCTTGTCTTCCTGTTGTGGCGGGCTAATGAAAAGATGTGGCAAGTAGCGTGCTGGCTATGTTTAGCAGTTACAAATTGAACCACTTAATCGAACACCTTAAACTATTAGAGATGGAACAAATTTATTTATTTAAATTTTGTCTCTCACGTGCTGGATTCTTTTTTTTATCGAAGGCTTGACACATGAACAATTTTTACAAATGGGTGGTGTGAGACTTAATCCCAAATTTTTTCTAGCTCTAATATCATGTTGAACCACTTTGTCTAAAATCTTAAGCTATTAGAGAGGGGACAAATTTTATTTATTCAACTTTTGTCATCAAAGGATCATGCTTCAAATTTCATTAGGAGATAATGGAATGACTGGCTTTCAAAGACTCTAGAGAATTGCTTTTTATATTTTTGTTTCACTTCTTTATTTTGGTGCGAGTAAATAGTTTCATATAATCCTTTTTATGTAGTGTTCTAGTTATTTTCTAGATCAGTAGAAACTATGCATCACCACCTTCTCCATGAAAGCAGATGGAAATATTAACGTTGACAGCTAACTTTAATAAATTAGCTGCACAAACAGAATTCTCATTTTAATGCCCTCAAAATTTGATAAAATTTTATTTTAGGTCTAGCAATTTGTTCCATGGCCTCCTTAAATATGAATGTAAAACCTACTCTAGGTTATCCTAAGCATAAAAATGAAGTCTAAAAGCATTCTTCATGATGAATAAATATCTCACTGTTCACGAATGTTGAATTTCTTGCCTTTTATTAACAGAGGTTACAACAATGGCTGGAAGACGGCTCCGAGATGCCGTGAAAACAGTGCTCACAACTGAAGGTAGCAACGAATTTGATGGAAATGTTCATGTAGTGATAGCTGGGTTCACTAATGCATACTCACAATATGTAACTACATTTGAGGAGTACCAGATACAGAGATACGAGGTCAGTGTCTAAATAATGGTAAAAACCTTTGCTATAATGTTGAATTAATGGTTGTCACAAACTAGAGAGCTCACCTTTAGAAATGCATTTTTTGAAAATTATCTGCAGCCAAACATGATATTTAGAACTCGGAATTGTATTGAGTTGGAATTAGAATGCTCAGAGTTGCAAGGATCGGAGGTTTTCCTATAATATATAGGAGCTAGTATCATTTTGTGGAGCACAATCAGAATTGATCCAAAAAGGAGATAGATTTGAAAAAAAAAATGTTACTGTTGAATCACCTCTTCTAATATCTAAAGTTGATATATTTAAATTGTTTTTAACATGTCCCCTCACATGTAGACTGAATTCATTTTTTTATCAAAGGTTTTACACGTGCACAATTTTCAAAAATGTGTGGCAAATATCACGTCAAATTACCTTATCTAAAAGGTTAAAAACTGTTATAGAATGGACAAACTTAGTCATTTAAAACCCGTTTAGCCCCCATTATTTGACATTATTTGAGATTATAATTTTTGGAATAGTGCTTTTTTGAAGAATGTGTAGTTAAAAAGGAAGAAATTGTTTTGGATTTACGTGTAATATTATTTTATTGGAGAATGTGTGGTTGATAAGAAGAGAGAAAAATATATATTATAATTTTAATGGGGGCCAAACGGAGGCTTAAATAATGTCTTCAACAATTATACCTATTAGAGCATCTCCAATAGATTCTCTATTTTTAAAGAGTATATTCTATCATTTGGAAAGATCTATAAATTTAGAGAGTTAAAATTTTGGAGTATCCAACAAGCTCTTTATATTTAACACTTAACTTTACTACTCCCAAAAAATATTTATTATTTTTGTTTATCTTTTATTTTAACTAGTTTTTCTTTAAATTATTTTATTGTTTCCTATATTAAAAATTGAAACACTTTGATTACATTTAATTATAGAGAGTGGGTTTGACTCTCCAAATTTGAAGAGTCAAGCCCACTCTCTAAATTAAAATGTTAATTTAAAGAGTCTTGGAGTATCATTTTAAATGTTGACTATTTAAAATAGAGAGCATCTCATATTTAAAGAGTCTCTTGGAGATGTTCTTAGATACTGCATTGTCTACATTTCACATACAGATGTCTTGCGTAATATATGGTGGTAATCCATGCAACATTACATCATTTCCAGGGTGCCTCAACTCTATATGGCCCACATACTCTCAATGCCTATATTCAGGAGTTCAAGAAGCTTGCAACGTACCTTATTAGCGGACAATCAGTGCAATCTGGTCCAGAACCCCAGGATCTTCTAGGCAAGCAAATAAGCTTATTACCACCAGTTCTGCTGGATGCAACTCCTCCAGGTGTAAAATTTGGTGATGTCAAAACGGATGTACCCAAGAGCTCCACCTTTAACAGAGGCGACAATGTGATAGTCGTTTTCTGGTCAGCATCCCCAAGAAATGACCTTATGACCGAAAGTACTTTTGCTCTCGTGGAGATTCTTCAAGGGAAGGACTCATGGGTTCCCGCTTATGATGATGATGATTTCTGCCTTCGCTTTATATGGTCGAGACCTGCTAAACTTTGTCCTATAAGTTATGCAACTATTGAATGGAGAATACCAGAAACAGCTGCTTCAGGTGTGTACAGAATAAGTCATTTTGGTTCTTCAAAGAGTCTTCTAGGGTCAATTAAGCCTTTTACAGGTTCTTCGAATGCTTTTGTTGTGACTTGAGACCAAGGTATTCACCTGGCATGTGCATCTTGGTGATCATCTTGTAACTAATGTAATTACACATATAGTTCAACTTAATAGACTTTGTCCATGTTAATGAGATGCTCACACCAAATTTCAATTATACAAGTGAAAGGAACAGTGTAGTTGTAACGATCTAATTTTATTCCACGTCCCTAGCAGAAGGCCTCATGGGTTTATAAGTACTTTGGACATTCTTAACCTTATAAATTGATTTTAAGGGTGAGTTCTACCCAAACTGATCGGCACCGTAGTCCTTAGCTGTAACTCCAATACTTGTGCTAAAGTAAGGGATTGAGGGTGATCAATAAAATAAAAATGACGTTTAAAAGAGTTAGGTTAAAAAAAAAAAAAAAAAAGAGCGTATTTTTGTATTGAGAATTGAAAATATGTCTAGGATAAATGGGATTTGAAGTAGTATTTTTGATTTAGGCTAGTTTGATTAGTTATGATTAATTAGGATTTTGATGGTACGCCTGTAATGTATTAATAGTTACCTTATATTTAAGCTCTTTGCTCTATTAAACTTTAAAAAGAAAAAAAAGAAAGAGAAACCTAGTACTTCAATCCTGTTTGAGTCCTCTTTTTTCTTAAGAATGCATTTTTGGAATAGTAAATTGATGGAAAATATGTGATTGAAAAATAATGAAAAAAATTTGGTTTGCGCGTAATATTATTTTACGGAAGAATGTGTAGTTGAAAAAAATGAGAGAAAAATGTATTTTGAAAATAATGGGAATCAAAGAAGGGCTATTGGTTAAATTTCATCTATGGTCATTGAGCTTTTAGCAAAATTTCATTCGAGTTTTTGAATGTATTAAGTGTTTCAATTGAATCGTCGATCCCTTCCCACACTGTGTCATGGCAAAGATTCTTATTTCTACTTTTTATATTTTTAAATTTGAATCGTATTTAAAAAATAAAGAATCAATATTAAGAATTAAAAATATAAACAGAACATGAAATTGAGATATTTTAATTGTTGTCTCGTCAATGTTGCTTGGTGGGGCGGTGGAAGGGGCGGATTACCCTAATCTCGACTTCTCGTCATCCATAAATCTAGTATATCAATTTTTTTTTAACTTATATTTATAAGCTGTATACAAACATTCAAATCACTTTTATCGACATGTTTTGAGAAATTCACAAGTACTATCCCCTCCTCACCAAATGCCAATATCCATTTCATACCGCATAATGCCAAGTGAGTTTTAAAAGTTCTTTTCTTTTTCTTTTTTCCTTTTTTATAGCAACCATTGATAATTCCATTAACTACCACGCATAAATATTATTGAAGTGTACATGGTTTTGGTGTTAGTGTATGTATTATCCTACCTTTTCTAAACACTAGTCTTTGCCCGTGCAAATGCACGGGCTGATTTTTTTTTATAGTACTGTTAGTGTTTTAAATGTGGTGGAATTTTGTGAATTATATAAATAACGTTCGCTGTGGTGGAATTTCGTGAATTATATAAATAATGCTCGTTGTGGAATTTCGTGAATTATATAAATAACGCTCGTTGTGGTTAAAATCCCTCTAATGAAAGAAATAACACGATATTAGACCTAAAAAAACTTGTAAAACAAGGTGATCAAATGCAATTCTTCATGCTAAAGCATTTAAGCAAAATTTAGTTCACAAATCATATAAATAAACAATAGATGACATGATAATATGATGTATAAGAAAGAAAAAATATCTACTAATTGTCATCAATACACAGTCACAATGAAATATATAGTAGCATGTTACAAAACTTCGAGAATTATGTAATCCAAGATTAATCTTCAGAAGGAAGTTGTAATATGTTCCCTTTCTTGGTGAGCGTGAATGGACTGATTCTGCTGAATTCCCATCTGAGGAAGGTATAACACGTGCAATACCAATTTATATCCGGCCATCGAATGACAAAGACTGAGTGAGATAAAAGGGATGAAGAATGCAAGAAGAGTGTAATGGCAAAAGGTAGTCTATTGATTCTGATGGCAGTCCATTGATGAACAACAAATGCAACTTAGATATCTCCAGCAGCCTGAAAAAAATAGCTGGAAGATGAAATGTGAAAAGTCAAGACTTGGGAGAATCTCAGGTAATTCTTTTCTGTTTTGTGGTGAAAAAAAAGTATTCATGCAGGTTCAAAACTTTAAAGCCATAAGAAAGACAGAAAGAAGATTGGATTAGAGGCAGGAATCAAATGTTAATAGGTCTAAATTTATAAAAACATAGTTAATACCACGAGACTATGATACATTTTGTTAGGTGCTATTATTACCTGTCATTCGAATTGGATAAGTAGATTGGTGAAACGAGTTCTGGATTAGCTCAAATTTACAAGTTTAATGGATCAAATGTTCCTCCTTCAGTTCAAGTGAATAAGAAATCAGAATTATTTGGCGAAAAAAAAAAAGTAATTAAAAAATTCGCAGAGACCCTTCGTAAATTTGGGAGAGAAGACGAAAGGATAAACCAAGAAAAAGAAGAGAAATAATTAAAACAATGTGAAATGAAAATAAGTAAACAATAAAGGTAATGTCTTCGAAATTTCAATGAAGAAGCTCATATCGTCATCAAACTCAATAAAGATTGCTTATGAAAATCTATCAACCGTTTTATTCAAGGAGATTGACCTTTCACTTACCATTTGAAAATTCATATTCCAATGTCCTGGTTTCATAGAAAAACCAAGGAAGTTCATAGAAATATTCTTTTAAGTGCAATGAAATTCCCCTCTTTTTGTGACTTATATATACTGGCAATTCACAAGAGAACAATTCAACATCCGTGGTCCACCATCCAACATAAAAAGAAAAAAACTGAACAAATTCTCCTAGAGGAAGTACAATAAAAAAGAGCAAAACTAAGTTGAATATAAATTACCTTAGCTGTCCCAAGACTGAATATGAGAAAACTGGACAAAACATGGAAGACAGCTAGAAAAAATATCAACAATTGGAGTTGCTGGATGCCCACTCTCGAAATCAAAGAAAACTTATCCTGTTCCACAATTTCAAAAATCAATAAGATGCAACTAAAATCTGAAACTTACAAGTTAATTAATTGCATCAATCAAACAACTACTCCATCCCACATATAAAGTACCTGTTCTTCACATTTGGATTCCTCCTTTATCTTCAACAACTGCCATCAGACCCATGTTGAAATCGTGTGGATTGGCCTCCTGGGTGGATATATACATACAGAAAACATCAATAAATCAAAGCAAGAAATCAACTTCCCTTTCAATAATGGAATTGGCACCAAAATGGATTGCACAAGGCTCAGATCAAACCCAAATCATAAGGTACCTCCAACATCGAACTATCCCAAAGAATCTCATGCCACAACCACGAAGGAATCACCCAAAACGAGGTCACACAAATAGGGTGCGAGACTGCCGAACAAGGTAGCGAAATATATGCGAAAAGGGACGAGAACAACTGGCAGCCGAAGGTCACAAAGGATCATCGATCTCGCGCTTGAACTCCCCCACCTCCGTCGTGCCGGTCGCCTGCAAAAAATTTGAACCAGACACAATCTTAATAACACAAATATAAAAGAGAAAACGACTAATAGAAAGAAGCACAAAAATTATCGAGCACATTTGTATCTCCATTTTCACTGAGCATGTTTGAGTTTACTTAACCATGTTTGGTGAATAAAATTAGATTTTTATTAGATTTTGATAAAAAGTAATGCTCATACTGAAAAACTATCGATAGTCACCTTGCATTGCGTACGTATGGCGATTTGTTATTTGATGTATGAGACAACAAAAAACTACCACATCAATGCATCACATAACCAATTGATACATATACGTCACATAGGGCCACTACCGATAGTTTTCACTATGAATAACATTATTCTTTAAGAAAAGTTGATGAAATATGCAATTGAAATTTTTTGAATTATATGAAATATGTGGTTAAAATTAATTATTGACTTTTACTTGAATTAAAATCTAATAGCCCGTTTGATAAAGATTAAAATCGGATTAATAGACGAGTGAGGCCCAATAACGGTTATATTTTCAATTTTAATTGGATTTTAATCGATACCAAACGAGCTCTAAATTTTAATTCTTACCAAACATGGGCTAATAAGAAGCAGAGAGTCATATTTTTTATCCGATTGGAAGGGATTCTTTTTTTTTTTTTTTTTAATTCTTGTAGAAAACCTTCCGAAGAAGTTATCTTGAATCAATTTTCTTTAAAAACTCATTTAATCCGATAAATCATTTGCACAAAATTATCTAAACATATTTAAAAGTAGTTTCATAGTCTCAAAAGCAACCAAATGAATCTTTATGTGTGTGTGTGTGTGGGGGGGGTGGGGGGGCGTTTGGGTCGAATTATTTTGTTATTTGCTCATAAATGCGACTTGGGAACGTCCGTCAATAAAGAGGCGTCAACGCCAATTTGGTGGTGGGTAGGTGTGAGAGTATGGCCACCTTAGTCGTTTTGTGCAAAGTCACACGTTGGATCTTTCCATTTCTTTTCCTTTCGCTAATTTGTGGTTGAGCCCTCGATGATTCAGTAATTGTGAATGTTACCCTAGACAATACTTTTTATTGCGTGTTGACTACACTAATCAAGAAAAATTGGGGATTGTTTGGTTAAAATTTTATTCTTATATTTTCTTGTTTGAAAATTCATATTCCAATGTCCTGGTTTCATAGAAAAACCAAGGAAGTTCATAGAAATATTCTTTTAAGTGCAATGAAATTCCCCTCTTTTTGTGACTTATATATACTGGCAATTCACAAGAGAACAATTCAACATCCGTGGTCCACCATCCAACATAAAAAGAAAAAAACTGAACAAATTCTCCTAGAGGAAGTACAATAAAAAAGAGCAAAACTAAGTTGAATATAAATTACCTTAGCTGTCCCAAGACTGAATATGAGAAAACTGGACAAAACATGGAAGACAGCTAGAAAAAATATCAACAATTGGAGTTGCTGGATGCCCACTCTCGAAATCAAAGAAAACTTATCCTGTTCCACAATTTCAAAAATCAATAAGATGCAACTAAAATCTGAAACTTACAAGTTAATTAATTGCATCAATCAAACAACTACTCCATCCCACATATAAAGTACCTGTTCTTCACATTTGGATTCCTCCTTTATCTTCAACAACTGCCATCAGACCCTTGTCGAAATCGTGTGGATTGGCCTCCTGGGTGGATATATACATACAGAAAACATCAATAAATCAAAGCAAGAAATCAACTTCCCTTTCAATAATGGAATTGGCACCAAAATGGAGATGAAGCTATTATAAGAGGAAA